TTTGTAACTGGTAATAAATTTGTTTCTTTAGAGTCAGTGTAAGGCCTTTATCCCAAAACATCAAGAAGATTTCTCCCCACGCTAATGACAGCCATTACCCATTGTCGTCAGAATTGCATGGACCCTTGTCCCCTTAGGCATTGGGGGTTGGAAGACATACAAAAATACGGGCTAGTCCTTTTTAGCGTGTTTTTTTCGATAATACAAAAACACGGGACTGTCCGTTTTCGAGGGTACATTTAAACTAACAATAATCCGTAACGAACCGTTAAGAGACCTGCATAAAAGAACGAGAAAATCCGGGCCAAACCGTTAATGGGTTAATAAAACAATTTTTTTTTTTCAGCTTTTATATTAAAAAAATAAGTTGTAACCCATGTATATATGTTTACACACACACACTCACATATATATATGAGGGAGTCAGAGTTTTTAAAATTCCAGGAGTCGGTCATTTTCCTTACCAACTCCACAGCCCTGCAAAAGACTAGAAAAGAATTATTAACATATCATACCCCAATCACCTGTTTTCTTATATCTGTCAGAGGTTCAACTGTAGTAAACATTTACAATCAACTTAAAGTGTTACGTGCATTCAACGGGTGAATTCTCACAAGTAGAATTTCTAAACTCAAACAGACAGGCACAGAAATAAGATGACTTTATTCTACCTCACCATTTATGAGGCTTTAATTAAAATTACACAATACAAATTGTCAGTCATATGAATCCTTCTAGAACACAAACTTCCTTAAAAAATATTATAATTTTGAATACTTTAAATTCCTTTAATAGAAGCTATGAGCTCTGTCTGAGGCTGTGGGATATATTCAAACTTTCTAGCTTGCCCAAAACTAAATCTGTCCTTCCACTGTGATATTTAGTGTGACAGCAGCACTGGAGTCAACAGGAGAGAGCAAAACATTCTACAGCAATGCAGTGATGACAGAAAAGCCCAAACTCTCACATACAGCCATGCACAATTTTTCTAACTTCATAGTAAAACTGCTTGCCACTCTAATATAAATCTAATTCTGAAATGAACACACACACACACACACACACACACACAAAAAAAAAAAAAAAAAAAAAAAAAAAAAAAAAAAAAAAAGAAGAAAAAGATCCTCATGACAAAATGATGGAAGTAGAAAAGATGTAAATACACTCATGTCCATAAATTAAGGATAATGCAAAATCAGGCAAAGGAAGAGTTAGAAGCAAAACAAATTTGACTTATCTGTAAAGCTTATTTATTAAACAAAAGGTAAAGAGCAAAAAAAGATGCTATATGTTTGATATTATTAAAATGCTCTCCGAAATTAATGCTCTCTGAAGTTCCGGTAGACATGTAGGAGGAGGTTGACGGGCTGCAACACGTCGGCCAAGCATGTCCCACACGTGCTCTACTGGATTCAAGTCCGGTGAAAATGCTGGCCACTCCATACGGGTGATATCCTCCGATTGAAGGCATTCGCTTACGATGTTTGCACAGTTAGGACGGGCGTTGTCATCCATAAACATAAATTGTGCACCCATGGCGCCACAAAACAAACGTACATGTTGTTCCAAAATGACGTCCCGATAGATTTGGCCTGTCATGGTTCCAATTTGAACATGCAGGTCAGTTCTGGAACCCAGAATAATTCCACCCCAAACGAGCACTCCTGCACCACCGTAACGGTGTAGTTCAATGATGTTTTCTTGGTGGTAATGGTTACCTGGAGCTCTCCATATCAAAATCCGGCAAAAATCAGACTGCAAGCTAAACCTGGACTCGTCGGTAAACATCACACAAGCCCACTGTTGCGGTGTCCATAATGCATGCTCTCTACTCCAGGCTAACCGCAGGCGACAGTAAGTTGCAGTAAGTGAAACGCATCTGACAGGTCTACGAGCATATAGACCAATCTGCCCTAAGCATCTGTACATGGTCTGCCTTGAAATTGTCGTACCAGTGGCTGAAGAATGCTGTTGAGACAGGTCTGAGGCTGTGCTCCGCTTGTTTCTTTTGGCAGTAACTGCCAAATACCGGTCCTCATTCGGCGTTGTAACTCTGCGGCGACCTGTGCTGTAACGTCTACTCACATTACCATCATCTTGAAATCATTGCCAAAGCCTGGAGATGACACTCTGGGCAATTCCAAGTTCGTCTGATGCTTCCAGTTGGGTATGCCCACATTCCAGACGGCCGATAATTCTACCACGTAAAAAATCATCCAAATGTGTCCTTTGTGTCATAACTATTCGGTTATTGCTCTGAAATGCTTATAAAGCGCCTGCGAACAATTTTACTTCTTTGCCTGTATTCCTTATATATCACTCTCTTACACTCTCGTCATTGTGACGTACCATTGGTGTCATCTGGTTACTTTCTGAAATTTGCATATGATTCTTGAAGATGTGTGTAGTGATTTTACATGTGATATATTTATTTTAGAGTTCGATTTCCGCGTGACTCCGAATTATCCTTAATTTATGGACATGAGTGTAACTTAAATGTTGCACATTATGAATAAAAATTTAAATTAATCAATAAAGATAAAAACTTTAATTAAGATTGAAAGTTTCTAGGCACCAGAATATAAAGTAAAATCGGAGTAACCCATTTTTAGTTTAATATTTTCCCCGTACCAAAACTAACCCAAGTCCTTATTTCATAGAGCACGTGGATTCTTAAAGGAATTTACCATTTAAATATATGATTATTAAAAAATATTTAAAGTAAACACAGCTACAGTACAAAGCCAGAATCACTGACACTTCAGCAATTCCATATTTTAAGTCATCAATCATAGTTGGGCAAAATCTAATTGCAATTATAGTTCAACTACATTGTAATTGGAGCTGTAATTGCAACTAGGTAACTAGACTTAAACTGGTAACACGAGTTTTAATCTAGTAAGCTGATGTATGGAAATTGTAGATTTTAAAATATTCTTTATTAATATTACTTTTAAGAAAATTTTTTTTTGCATAAGGAAGGAATTTTTGTGAATTACCACCACACGAAATTAAAATATGACTTGAAGATGAAGTGCGCAGTATTTTCTTGATTTAAAACTGTGCTACAGATTTTCACCATTCTGTTATTTGATGAGTGATTGAGACATTGTCATCACAATGTAAAACTTCAGTCATATCATCTTTTTTTAGCCTTTCTTCTTATAATCCCGTAAGATTCTAACCTGTATACTTTTAAGTTACAATTTAAGTTGAAGAATCTTAAGAATTGATAAGCGAATAATTGCTTGAGTTTGTCAGACAGAGAAAAAAACGTATGATGGATGAAATTACCCTTTATTATTCCAATAAAGTTTAACAGAACTCCTTCTTGGAGTTTTACAATAAAGTCTCCACTCGTGCTTGAACTTAGGAAACTAAAAACTAAACTAATCTTAACTAAAAAGATATAGCCGAAACTATCAAGATTCTGGCAGAGTTGGCCCCTTAACGCTAAATAACGACGAAGCTATCAAGGGCCTAAAGTACAGCCGAGCATAATAATAGCTTAAGAGAGAGTAGCCTAAAAAGGCGGACATGCGCTAAAATCACTGGTTCTCTCTAATGGAGTCAGTAGAACTTCACAGTTAAATACTCCTCATTTGCATTCAAATGTGAATCTAAAAATACGTTCTGGCCGGAAGTTGTAAGCTTGAAATTAAGAAAAGATAGGACAGTAACTTTAACTCAAAATTTAACTGTTGAATAAATTAACATAATCCTTACAATCGTTAATCCTTATAATCCTTAATTGAAAAATTTCACTTTTTATTTGCAACATCCAAAACCTTGAGATTCACGATTTTCATCGTCGTCATCATGAAAATTGTTAGCTGACTTTTTATTATCTGTAGCATAAAAATACCTGCGGATATGTTCTCTTATGATCTTGCAATGTAACACACATGAGATTTTACATTAAAATGTTCTAGAATTCTTGGATAGTCAACAGCTTAGTTTTAGGCCTTTCCCTTTGCCTTAAGTTCCACACAATGTAAATCTAACTTTCCATGAAAAGATTTCAAAATTCTTGTTAGCTACCAAAACTAAGAAATTTTACAATATACTACCCACACAACACTTGCATAAACCTAAAGCTTAATCCTTTTAGACAAAAGGACAAGAATGAACCTCCCTATTTTAATTGGTCTGCCAAGATGAAAATCAGTGTTATCTAACAGTTGTAGCAAACATTGACTTTTGTCTGACCATCCATCCAGTACACCTGACATAAAGGACTTTGTCCTCCTTGCTCTTCTTCAATGCAGCTGTTTGTTGATGCATCATTTGTTGAGGCATTGATAAACAAGGTTATAGAATTAAAGATTGTAACAAGTCCGTACTTTCAAACTGCTAAATATTTATCCTTATACATGCCTTTATGAAATAGTAAAACATCAGTTTTGCTATTTTTTTAAACATGTCAGTTTTCTTACTGCAGTTTTTTTTTTTTTTTACATGAAATCAAACATTTTCACAGGAGAAAAAAATCCTGTGTGCTGTGATACAAAAAAAAGTGAAGAAGTATTTTTGGCTTAATCGGAAGAGGAACAAGAAAATTGAAAATCAGATAAAAAGGCAAACTTTGCTTTGCATAGATTTTGAATAAAATTCTGTAAATTTTGAGGGCAATCAGACTTAGGCTTTTGTTAAAGAGCAAAATGAATTTAGTAAAGTAGGAAGAGTGACAACTATTTTATATGGAAATTGGTGAGTGGAGTATATTAAAAAAAGCATAGTGTTATTTCTCTTAAAAAAATATTTTATTAGTGAACATTTTATTCAGTTTTTCAGTCTAAAATATATATTCTGAATCAATATATTAATTTTATTCCAATTAGGTTTATATAATAAATTAATTGTGATGTACTTTCACTTTTTTTTTTTAGAAACATTTTGTAACTGCTCTTTAATGATGCTCTTAATTTTATATATGTTTATGTGAAAGAAAAGACATAAAAATGAGTATCTATAGAATACTGTTTTCTCTAAACCCCTAGATGACTTATGATCCTGAAACTTTTGCAGTTGTTATAGATAAAGGAACTCTTGATGCTCTTCTTGTAGATGATTCCAAAGAAACTAGTGATAAAATAGACAAAATGTTTTCAGAGATAGAACGAGTATTACGTTATGGGGGAAGGTATTTATGTGTATCTCTTCTTCAACAACATGTATTAAATAAACTGCTGGATTGGTTTTTAGAAAGGTACATTTTAGTCTATGATTTAATTATAAATGCTTATTTAATGTTGACATTTTATAAATTTTGTTATTATGTATATGTCATTTGTGTTTATCTTTTTGGTACTTTTTCTTACCATGTTATCTTCCTCTCCTAATTTGGTACAGTTTAAATTTTGTTCACCAGTAAAGATTTTGCTATAGTAACCCTAAAAAGGAAAATGTGCACTCTGGAAATATTAAATATGGAAGTAAATGTAAAAGTGTAAAATGTAGTGAAGGAATACGTAACAATTTAAAGATATTATTAAAAATATAACAAGATACTGATTATTAAAAACATTATTCTTTTATATATATATAAGTAAAGACAGGTATGATATTATTTTGTTTTTTAAAAAATTGTTTTGTAATTTTATTTTTGTATATATACATATGTAAATTATAATAAAATACGATGGTTGCGCTAAGAAATGATTGGCAACCTCAAAGTTGACTATTCTAGATTTTATGTTCTCCTCCAAGTTCATCTTTTCTTCCCCAAGTTCGTCTTTTCTCCCAAATTCGAGATCTTTCCAAGTTACATAATGCTGCTTGCAAAAGGGAAGTAAAACCTGAAATTAACCAATTGCAGTTTAGCTGTACATATGCACCTACCTAGTATAAATACTGCTTCGTAAGCAATTACATCACTTCTTAACTTCTCCTGTCATACAAAACCTCTGCGCTGCTATGCTCTGTTGTTCTTTACCTTATAACCCATGTACACTGCTCAAAAAAAAAAAAAAAAAAAAAAAAAAAAAAAAAAAAAAAAGGAGGGGGGGGCATTGCTATATTTTTCGTTCTACTGGGCCGATTGAGAAAATTCAAACTGCGTTTTTCATGTCTCGAAAGCGTGACTTAAGATATATGTTAGATTTATATATAGCACTATTCTAACATAGGTATATTTTGATACAAAATCAGACTTTTTCTGAAATAACATACCAATTTTTTTACATATTTCGATTCTACGACTCAAATTATGGCCAAATATTAAATTTTGTAAAATTCGATGCGAAATTTACAGAGAAATTCTACAATTTATGTTGGCACTTTTTATTCAGTTTGCGCCAAAATTAGTTCACTTGGCAAACTTCTTAATATGTGGCAACCTATTTTCATTTCCATTTTTACATTGCGTGAGAGGAAAAAAAGACCCAATTGTTCCTTCTTTCAAATAATGTTCTTTATCTTATATTTTCAATTATAATTGTTATTAATTGTAAGCAATTTTTTTCTTTTTTGAATATATTTTAATTGTTTACGTTGCATAGTTTCTTTCGAATAACTGTTTTAAAAATTTCTATTTACTCATTCGAACTGCGTAGTTTAAATCAAGGGCACATCGTTTATTATTATTATTTTTTCAAGTAGTTTTCTTTATACCATATTTTTAGTCATAGTTACTATTTTAGGTAATTTTTAAATTTTTAGACTTTTATTTTAACTGTTAGTTTGCATTGCCTCTTTAGATAATTATTTAAAAATTTTCTATTTATTCATTCGAACTGAGCGTTTTAAATATATTTATTAATATAGATTTTCCAGAATTTGATTTTATTTATTTGAATTGCGTTTCTCTCGGAAGAATACATTGTAACCCAGACCACGATGCATTTGAAAACTGCATATATTAAAAGAGAAAATACAGTAAAGCACACATAACACGCCTTTCATTGTTCTGTTCAGAAAAGATATATATAAATAAGAGAGATGTATAACCGACATTTTAACTTAGGATGACTTGCATACACTGCTTTAAACAGTTTTATCATTGTGCCCATTGCTTTACACAAATTTATCCTACATTTGGTTTCTTAAATGTTATTCATATTTTAGTCAAATATTTTATTTTTGAAATTGCAAGAATCAAATATCATAAGATTAAAAGTTTTAAATTAAAAAAAAAAGTACAAATATTAAATTTTGCGCAACAATTTATTTTTTCGTCTCTTTTTCTTCAGGCATTCTGCTTCATTCTTGCTCTTTTTCTTTAGGCATTCTGCAAGTATATTCAAAAGTATCCAACTTTTCGAAACATCTTGGTATTTTTGACGTTCTGTTTAATTAAAGTTATCGCCTTCCATTTCATAAAGACCCATGAACTGCCGAGCGGTAAAGTCGCTGAGCACTGGTAGTTGACTCCGGGGTTCGAATCCCGGTAAACGGGCTGGTTGCATGGGCGTTTTCGTGAATTTTCTCATGTGTAACATGTATGCCAGCTGGTTTCCCTTAGAAATTTCTTCACGAAGGCATCCTTCCTTTTAGATAGCCCTGCTTTGCGCCATAATTTAATAATCCATTTCAATCCATTTCATCAGAGACTTTCTCAGTCTTTAGAGGCTAAGCATTTTGAAGGTATGAGATGAAAGGAAAGACTGGTTTGATCAAGAGGTTTTGGTTTATTTAATTATGACAAAGCACACTAGGGCTATCTGCCTAAGGGGAGGGATGCTTTCGTGGAGGACTTTCTAAGGGAAACTGGCACGTATACACGTTACACATGTGGAAAACCATGAAAACACCCCAAGCAGCCAACCCATTTGCGGGATTCAAACCTCAGATCGAACTACCAGTGTTCAGCGACTTTATCACTCGGCCGCTGTTTCATCAGGAGGAAAAAAAAAGTCTTTAGTTGACATCCACATACATCACTGGATAAACACCTGAATTTTCAAATAATTCGACTGAGAAATCGTGGGATTCTCCGTTTATGATATGGTATATTGTTCTGTAACGTAATTTAAATTTGTACAACCATATAGTCTAAAACCAGTCGCCCTTCACTTTAATCTGCAATGATATCGTTTTTGTCTTTTCTGTTAACACAAGCTCAATTAATGTTATTTGCTGGTGTACACCTCCAAGTGTTTTCTCTTTGAACACCTTAATTCTTTGAAGTATCCTGAAAGTATCTTCAAAAGCGTCCAACTTTTTTAAACATCTTGGAATGTCTGACAGCCAAATTTCCCTGCAAATTTTTGCTTACTTTTCTCCCTAATTTTCTTCTTTCCTTCTACAGGTATTTTCAGTACTCACACAAGAAAATTAAGATTTTTCGATTGCTAGACTTCCATAAATTTTGCATTCTTGTGAATTTTTTTAAAAATATTAATTACATGAATTGCGTTTCAGCTGAAGACAGCTTTTCATTTTCTAGTCATTTTAACTATAAATAAAGTTTAAAGCAAAGTCCAAAGGATAAATATTTTAATTAAAAGATTTTTTGCTAAATGACAAATAAAACAGTCCAGCAGTGTTTATTCTGTACCACCTAGTGACCCGATTCTTATATCGGCTGAAATAATTTAAATAATAGTAAAGATCATGTTTTTTATACAATCTATAACGCAAGAGAAAAATTAGCTTCTTTCTAAGAGGATTAATACAAAAATTTATATTTAAATATATATTTTTAAAGCTGGGACATGAACGAAACTGTCAAACTTTTAAAGTTTAATTTACATGGTGGTTATAATTAAAGTTCACTTTGAAATGGTCATAAAAGCAAAACTACCAGACTAAATGTTATCAAACTTGGGAATCGTGTAAAGGAGGTTATGGGAATTTATTTCCCGCGGAAAAAAAAAAGAGTTCTAAAACTCAGCGCCAGGAAAAAAATGGCGCTGTATGCAATATTGTTAAATGAAATAAGACATGAAAACATCGGTTTAAAATGTGTTTAATCATTTCCGAAATGTGTTACAAAGCATGTTTAATGTAGCGTCCAGTATTTCCGAAAGCAAGTTAAATTCTGTTACTGCATTCTCAACAGCAGCTCTTAGCATATCAGGAGGAATGTTACGGACATATCGGTGTATCAAAGTTTTCATTTCTGCCAAATTGTTCAGATTATCACCATAAACAGTGCTTTTGAGATAACCTCATAGTTAACAGTCACAGAGGTTTGAGGTCTGGTGGGAAGAGGGGAAGTGTTGGGGTATAAGATGTTCATTCGTGAAATGTTTCCTAAGTAACTGTGCAGTGGGGCCCAGGACTGCATAAAAATCGTAGTATCTAAAATGCCATGTTAATGCAGTTCATGTATCCACGAAACATTTTAACATTGACTCTAAGCGAGCTGCAATCACAGTGGTGCAGCTGTCGACTACTATTCAGAGAAAAATGGTTCAGTCATGAAACTAGCTGTCATTCCACACCATTTGCTATGCAATCGAATGCAATAGAAGAATGCAGTGGAATTAGGTAGATAACATGAGGGATTTCTTTGACCCAGATCGATTAAAAGCGTTTTGAATCAGTATCTTCATGTTTTAGGGCCGAATTCAGGCTTAAAAAATTACAAGTTAGTGATCTGTAAGAAAACGATTTCCAGATTGTACGCACTTGCGCGAGTGATTTGCTGATCTCACATTTTCTAATCGCTTAATTCGTGGTTTTCACAGTTGACGATTTCTCACTTTACAAGGATGGCGCACTCGAACTTTTATCGAATTTAACGCCTTTAAATGGTAATTTGCTTACTTCAAAGTTTCTTAAAGGGTATACAACATATTAAACCCGTGTAACAAATGTTACATTAGAGACAAATGTTACATTAGACCCGTGTAACAAAAGTTAGATTTTGACCTATATTTCATTTAACAATATTGCATACAGTGCCATTTCCCTCCTGGTGAGGTTTCAAACTTTCTTTTTTTCGTGGAAAATAAGTTCCCATGACCTCCTTTAAATGCTTACCAAGTTTGATAACATTTGAATCCAGTAGTTTTTCTTTTATGACCGTTTCAAAGTGGAACTTTAATTATAACCACCCTGTATATTATTAAATTTTAATTTGAAATTATGCGTTATGTGTATACCATGCGTAAGATTTTCGCTTTTATGGAAAAAAGAAAGAATCGAAGCAAGTATAATTAGGATAATGGACCAAAACTGAAACAATTTCCCCTCCCTCCGAAAATAAAATATTGGAATTTCGATCTTAAATTTATTGGATAATCGAAATATTCAATTTTACAT